GGTTACTATGTAGCCAGACCTTTTTAGTGCTATGGAAACTACAGGAGGAAATTTTTAAAATTCTACTTGTAATGAATTTATAACTCAGTGATGGCACAAAAATGTGTGATGCTTACAGTTTAGAAACATTTTTAAATTTATGATCTCATTTATCAAAATGACCATGTGAAGTATGTATGATTATTCCTGTTTCATAGCTGAGATTACTTAGGTTTAAATCCATTGCCTGAAGTCATCCAGCCAGTAAGAGGTAGAACCAGGAATATATTTTAGAACAGCTTTATTGAGATATAATTCATATACCACACAATTTACCCTTTTAAGAAAAGTATAAAGCTCAGTAATTTTCAGTGTACTAACAGAGTTGCACAACTGTCTGATTTCAGAAAGTTCTTGCCACCCCCAAAATAAACTCTTGTGCCCTATTTTTCCTTTCCCCCAAGCCTTAGAAACCACTATGCTTCCTGTGTCCATGAATTTGCCTAACGTAGACATTTCACATACATGGAATTACACAATACGTGGCCTGCTGTGACTGCCTTCTTTCATCCAGGTTAATGTTTTCAAGATTCATCCATGTTGTAGAAGGTATCAGTGCTTCATTCCTTTTTATAGCTGGATAATATTCCACTGTGTGAATGTTCCACATTTTGTTTATTTATTCATTAGCTGAAAGACATTTGATTTGTTTCTACTATTTAGGTATTTTGAATACTGTCACTATGAATATTTGTATATGTGATCATTTCTCTTAAGAATATACCTAAGTGTGGAAAAATCCTGATTGGAACACAGGGCACTTCAGCCCAATCCGATGCAATACAAATCATCAAAATTATTCTAATGACACCAGAGGCAATGAACTAAACAGATCACAGCACTGCCATGGGGCATGGGTCACCCGAATGCTGGGCACTGCTCTGTCACTCACTAGCTGTGTGCACAGCCCCTCTGGACATTCTGTGATTACACTGGAAATCATCTCTGGGGTCTTTCCAACTCTGAGACAATTTTATGGTGATTGACATCCAGTGGAAAATTTTTTCAAAAGCAGAAACTGTCTTACCACTAAGTCCATGGACCTCAGTGCTGGGGTTCTTAACCATGCCCACAAGGACAAAGGAAAACTCCATGAGATCTAGAGAAGTGAAAACTCAAAACCTGCTGGAATACTGCCCATGGGAAAGGCCTATTTTTCTCCCACCAGCCTGCCTTCTCTCCTCTCCTTGTGGATAATGAAGGTTCAAGCAATGCAATCATTCAAGCTTGGCAAAGAGCCAACACAAAGACAAGCGGCCCTGGGGCCCAGCCAGGGACAGAGAGTAGCAATGTTATCATTTGCTGCATCCACACATTCCTGAGGGCACAAAAACACTCGGTGGAGCACAGCCCAGGTTCACCCCGCTCTCAGAGGCCATTTCACTATCACTGCCCTGTGGCTGTGGTCCCCAGGAAAGCACTTTCCCTGGGAGCAGGGAGAGCCAAGTTTCAAAGGGACCCCACCCAGAGGTGCAGGCAGGAAATCAGAGGCAGTGCCTCTTGACCTCTCCCCACCTTACCCTCTTCAGAAGGAATCCAGCAAAAATAACTCCTTAGAAAGGGTAAAAGATCTTAGTAATATTTACTTCTGTGAGGTTTATTAAAAAAGAAACAAGTGAAGATCAAGAGAAGAAATAATTCTGCTTCAGACTGAATCCTATTCTGATCTATGCCAAACATTTTGCCTTGTCAGTTTGCCCTGGGTAGCTTCAAAGTTTGGAAAAATGGTGTGGGTTCCTCCAATTTTTCCTTATTTAGAGACAAATAAACTCATTTCCATAAGCCACACAAAAGAATTCAAGCTCATTACTTTGTTAGTGGCCCTGAATTTTTTTAAAGCCCACCTTACAAAAAAATCTCCTACCTTCAACCCAAGATGTATACAAAGTGCAGTCCTATCCCCCACCTGCCCCACCCCAAACCCCGGGGACTTGGCAAGTATGATATGAGTTTAATTCAACCAATCAGTTGAATGTTGTATTTTCCCCAAT